GGTGAACCATGGGAAAGAATAATTGCCAGTGGTCCATCTAAGTGAACCAAGCAGGTGGTCCACGAGCAAGAAGCGGATAAATTGTGAAGTTCATTCTCCGTATTAAAAAAAACATTGTTAAATTATTTCCAGCTGAACACTTTTATCGAATGGTCGGATCCTATACCCGCCTCCAACAATCTAAACGTAACCATTGAAGCATTAACACGAACGTCTCTGGAGAACAGACATCGAAGCAATATATTTGGGAAGCTCCAGGACACGTTGTCTGGTGTATTGGATAAGTGCGAGAAAGTTAACGTCGGCTGGAGTTTGTTGGAGCCTTATGTCCATGGTAAGTTTTTCGTGACAGTAGACCTCCTTGTGAAAGAATTTGTTCAGATAAGTATATATCATGGAGAGTGTTTAATTTAATATGTATTTCATACAAACAAGGCATACAAGAGTACATAATACAATTTCTCACCAAACTGCCAAAGCGGTTTGTTGGCGAGGTTACACTCACAATCACAAAACTATAGTATACCTAGTACGAGTACATTTAACAAAACCAGTGTAGAATTGGACATAGTTATGCAAACAAGAACCAACCCACACCTCGAGCGAAATTGAGTTACTTATTTAGGTAGAACACCGGACCTTTACCCGCTCACAAAAGGTTCTGGCAATATACCAAGCCAAAACGGAGAAAATAAAAGTCCTTCAGGGTACCAACCCTAAATAAGTAACTTTTTAATAGTTAAAAAGAACCAAGCTGCTTAACTTCATATAATGTATTTTTCAAAATATGCTGAATGGATCCATATCACATGTACTGAAGTACTGTAGATCTTGTGACGTCATGACAACTGCGCTCCGACTGGGCAGCCGGAATTCGATACAATTGACGTGTATCGTCATTTGTTTCACTTCAAATCGACCAGTTTAACTTGAGCTTTGTTATGATGGAAAAAAATTTAAAAATTACATTATTTAATATTTAATTACCGACGAAATGTGAATACATTTGTTTTTTAATTACATGTTTTGCTGTTTTTCCCACACCAGCGATGGGACAGCCCCCCATAGTTAGAGAGTATAAATACAGATTATTTTTTGAATATACGGAGACGTACACAGGTCAGTTGTTGGCGCTGTACTATTTCAGCTTCCTAATTGGTGATTGCAAGCGATAGTTGATATTTATAAGTGATATAAGGCCCATTTACCTGATGAGTTGCCAGGAATGGATAGCCCTTATTTAGTCTCTATTTCTGGTTATATACTCGATGTATTAGGCACACCGCTTGTTCGTCCCATAACTTGGTATCACAAAAAAATCAGCGAAACCGAAAGCTCTAATAGGAATACTCAAAAATAACTAATAAACGCAATATATTATGCAGATTCCGAAGCTACAAAAACCGTACAACTCCTCATTCGGCTTACGAAATCGAAAACCTACATCCCAGAGCTGCTTCCCACGTTATTAACACAAATGGAGTCGCGGAGGAACTATCCTGTGGCGAAGATGGGGGAGCTCTTTGGGAGTGCGATGGCTGTTAGTGATGTGAGCATACATTTTTTATTGGTTATCAATAAGATTCGATGTACAGAACACACCTGGGCAGGTGATTTAGGTCTGAAATAATTATAACTCTTGATGAAAAAACTAAATTACAATTATTAATACAAAGATCGAACACTCAGAAAAATTCCTTCGATCCAACCGAATTCGAACCGACGTCTTCTAGCTTACCGTGCCAGACGCTATACCAACTAAGGCACGGAACGAATCAGCGGACCTCACGAATTTTTCTATGTGCTTGCGTCGTGTCTTTGTATTTGGTTTTTTCAACGACTTTTTTAGTCGTAGCGCCATCTATGAGAAATCTATGAGAAATTTATCACCCAGTTAGTACCTTTACAGTTACCAGTCCTGTCGGGAGAAGTCGCTATTTGCTGTATTTAAAATTTTTATTGAATTGATATTCAATTATTTTTCGTGAAATTACTGCACTAGTTTGTTATAATTATTAATACAAAGATCGAACACTCAGAAAAAATTCCTTCGATCCGGCCGGATACGAACCGACGTCTTCTAGCATACCGTGCCAGATGCTATACCAACTAAGCCACGGAACGAACCATCAGACGTCACGAATTTTTCTATGTGCTTGCGTCGTGTCTTTGTATTTGGGTTTTTCAACGACTTTTTTAGTCGTAGCGCCATCTATGAGAAATCTATGAAAGATTTATCACCCAGTTAGTACCTCTACAGTAACCAGTCCTGGCGAGAGATGTCGCTACTTGCTGTATTTTAAATTTTTATTGAATTGATATTCAATTATTTTCTGTGAAATTACTCCACTTGTTTGTTAAAATTGTTAATACAAAGATCGAACACTCAGAAAAAAAAAATTCCTTCGAACCGGCCGGATACAGACCGACGTCTTCTAGCAAACCGTGCTAGACGCTATGCCAACTAAGCAATGGAACGAACCAGCGGACCTCACGAATTTTTCTATGTGCTTGTTGTCGTATCTTTGTATTTGGTTTTTCAACGACTTTTTAGCCGTGTCAGACGCTATGCCAACTAAGCGAAGAATTAACTAAGAATTACATCTATTTACAGAGTTTGATTGAAATTGGTTATCGGAAAATGGGTGAAATGCAATGAGCCGGATTCATCACCTAACTTGCTACCTTTAGAGGTGGAATATTTTCTACAAATCTGAATGGGGTCACTACTGAGTTACCCCCTTTCCAACAAAAAAAGAATAATCGAAATCGGTTCTCAAATGTAGGAGTAATTGCGTAATACACACAAACAAAAAAAAAAAAACAAACAGTCGAATGGAGAACCTTCTCCTTTTTTGAAGTCCTTTAAAAATAGTTTCATTTCAAAAAAAATTCTTCTTACAGTCTGTTGGAGTAGACACGTCGATACTAAATCGTTGGAAGAAGCTGCTGGTCTCCTTACATAGGGATAAACCCAGTGAATATGTAACAATGGTATACAATGCGCAGAGGATGTTTAAGGAATGCTGTGATGAAGATCAATTTAGGTATTGTCTGTAACATAATCTAGCATATATATAAAATAAATAAATAAAATATACCTCAAACGACGGTATACCGTAGTTGCCACATCAAAAGTAACAAGAATTAGAATTACACGGCGTACCTATATTACACGGCGAATTACATAGATTAGAATTACACGGCGTACGTATTATTACCGTTATTATTAAGTTTATCATTTCCTAAGTTTAGAAACTACATTAAAAATATTTTGATCGAAAAATCATATTACAAAATTGAAGACTACGTGTTAGATAAAGATGTATGGAAAGACGACATGGCTCCAGAATCCACACAAATTTGATTCAAAGTGCATAGCATTTAAGCATACCACCAACCATAACCATAACCATAGCATTTAAGTTTATTTGAAAAGAGCAATCCCTAGAGTTTCTTGCTCGTTCTTCTCAGTGAGGTCAGCGTAGTGAACGAGCAGTAGCTTAAATGTGACGTTTTCAAGTGTAAATTTATTTTACCTATGGAATAAATAATCTTTGACTTTGACCAAAAAGTGTCGATACTTTTTGGTATCGATTGATTTTCCTTTCGATATCGATACTTTTGTTGTCGATACTTTCATTCGATACTTTTCTGATATTGGTGATTTTTGAGAAGTAGTGTATCGTATCATTTCGAATAATTCCTATTTAGGACATCTCATATCATAGCGGAAGTCACCTAGCGAATTTTAATTTAATGGCAAACCTTCACCTCACTTCGTCGGGGGCAGTACAAAGGCGCGTATGTAGCATTGGTAAACAGCGCGTATCTTGACGAGATCAAATTTTACAGGAGTGAGTTCAACCGTTATTATTTTGTTCTTACAATGGATACGACTTTAATTTTTCCACAGTAAGCATTAATTGAAGCATTAGGTGTAATAAGGGCGTATCACGTAAAAGTGAGATTCGAGAAAATTGAAAATAAAGTTTTAATGTCTTGTATTTTTTAAATATTTATAATACGACTCTTATATACTTTATTATTTTATCTACACACATATCATAAACTCTCTATGATGTGTTCAAAAACCATAAATTACGACCAGCATAGAGATAAACTGTTTTGTTAGAACAAATTTCTTATCTGTGAAAATCGAATCGATGTTATTATTACATTCAAATTTCGAACATCTCTGAAAAACAAAACAATTAGATTGGACCTCAATTCTAATATCAGTCGAGATCACGTTTTATTCGAAATGAAGTATCAGTAGCAAACAATTTTGACAAATCTCACACGTTACTTGATATCGAACGATATGATAGTTGGGGCCGACTCTAGTTTGTCTATGAATTCAAAAAATCTAAGAACTCGATATCTAGTTTTATTTATGAGCTTGCAATAGGCGAAACACTGTTTTTTTAGGCTCAACTTACAGTGGCGCGTCGCGTCCTGTTTTTCAACTACAACGCCACGCGAACCAGTTCAGAGATTTTTGAACATGCACTGCGCGCAAGTAACGCACCACGGCGACGGCGAAACCGCTCGACTTTAACCAAACATCGACGAGCGAAGGCGCGCGATTCCATATTTGCATAACACAAATTTGTACCTTAGTCACGGGAAAATGGAGATGAATATCGACCCCTCCTACGTAAAGAATCGTATATTGAAATTGCCAAGATTACAGGGTTGCCTTAAAGTTCTGAATTCACTGAAATAAGCATAACACGTGACTTTAGCATTTCTCAGTTTGCTGCTCGTTACATAGAGTAATATAAAATCCTAGATATTGGTTAGATGATCTATGATGATCATCTAACCGATATCTACGACGATGATGTGAGTAACGAGCTTTGCTGGATAAAACGGAGAACTTTAAAACGCTCCCTTGTAAACTTGGCAATTTCGACATACGATACTTTTCGTAGGAGGGGTCGATATGCTATAGGCGAAAACCATGACATGTGTGAGTCGAGCCTTATGAGACCAAGTGACGGGTCGAACTAGTCGCCCACCTGGTGGTAAGTGACACGCCTGTCCATAACAGTTGCAGTACCACTCAGTGCTTTATATTACAAAGGTCTCAGGGACACTGCCACTGCGCCCGTCATCCTGAGACGTAAGTTGACAAGCCCCATGGTCCTGAAATTTCACCAGCACCCTTACCCTTAAAAACCGGAACACAGTAATGCTCAAATTACTGCTGGGCGGCAGAAATATGTAAGGCAGAACTTCCCTGGACGAACTCTTTCACAAGGACAACATACTTGTATATTATGTTTATTAGACATTTTGTTGGTTCCAGAAAAATAACTGACCTAACACAAAAATTACAAAACAGAGACAAAGCCAAATGCCTTCTGATCCTGTCGACATATATATCACATTCCCAATCTGAATACATAAAAGAAATGTTTGAGACTATCGAATTATCAGAGCTTATACTTAATGAGAGCGTTGAAGCTCTTAGCGTCGCTAAAGAAGGTATCTTCAAGATGGAGGAAGGTTTGAAAAGAAGGTTCGTTATCCAGACTAGTGGATTGTGCCAGCATTCAGATTGGAAGATCAGAGAAGCGGCTTTTGGTGTTATTGTAAAAGCTTTTCAAGGTAAGGTGCACCGTCGTTTGAAGAAAGAAAGATTAGAAATGTTTTTTTTAGTTTATTTGTTCACTTACAGTTATTACAATGTATAAATTCAATTTGGTCAAGATCTTGTCTAAATTGCACAACTACTTATGCACTTATTATATTATACTTAACAGCTTGCAAAAACAACGTAAAATGTAAATTAGATAGAATTTAAAAACAGTAAATTAAATTTTTTTTAAAGTAGTAAGTACATCACCGTAAAGTTCACTGGATTAGGTTTCTTTTACTGTAACTTTTAAAATAACTTTTTGCGCAAAATATCAATAAAAGTGTAGAAATGAATAACAAATACGTTGCTTTGAGATATCGAGAACACGGTGATAGTGAAGATAAAGAAGAGTGGCAATATTTCTTATTTTTAAATTTTGCGATATAATATTGGAAATTTAAACTTGTAATTTTTTTTATACGCTCATAGCCCCGCACCAGGAAGATCCTGTGTTGCGGGTGCCATAGGCACACCCATAGACAACCACAAATTACATAAATGCATAAATGTAGGCCATGCAAATATTTCTCCCGGTACGACATTCCCGCATGGTAACCGTTCGGCCATGGACGCAGTAACTTGTAAAAAATACCATCTATTATATCATAATTTCAACTTGTAGGCATTGCAAACAAACGCCAATTTCCAAGAACGAGTGTTCAATTTACCACAGCCATAGCTAGTGTTAAATGTTGCTATGACCCGGGTTCGAAATTATGATAACTATTTTAATTCGATAATTATCATGATTATTATTCGATAATTATACATGCTGATTCATAGTTATGTTTCTTTAATTTTTTTACAAAAAATTACATATAGTGAGAAAACTAAATAAACACCAAGCAAAACCTGTGGGAAAAGGATTTATGTGACTTTTTAAGGAATGAAATTTGACACTATTGGATATGTGTCGGATATAAACACATGACACGACATTGCTAGCGGTGGCATTTTATTGTTCCAATTAAATTCATAAATGTCAAATAATTATCAAGGTATATTTATCGAGATAATTATCGTGATAAATATCAATGATAATTACACACACTCTCAAAGTCTCAAACCAAATCGTCAAAAATTAAACAGACGACCGTGACCATGGGACCTGTAAAGGGACCGAAACGTCAGTTTGTTTGAAAAAACAAATATACGCGATTTAAATCCGGAAAAATAGTTTTCTTTCCTATGAGTAACGATCGCGAAAACCTAAGAACTCGATATTAAACAGACAAATTTACAAATTATCGGATGTATATCCGACAATTATCAGATCACTATTGTCATAAATATCAATGGTAATTACACACAATCTCAAAAAAAGTCACAAACCAAAACGCCAAAAATTAAATAGACAAAACTTACATTATCGGATATATATCTGAATCATAGTGATAATTATCAGAGAAAGTAAATATCTTGTTAATTTTGTACCCTGTATATCATAAAACAAATTCCTTCCAGACCTCTTCAGGACCACAGAACAGCACCAGCCAAAAAAACCACGACACACATCCACGAAAATACTCCAGACAATAAACACTGATGACATTTATGTCAAAACAGTTATGTCAGCTATTGGTCTAGGTTTGACAGATCGGAATGACAGTATTGCCAAAAGTGTTATCACAATTGTGGAAGGATATCTTCATAAAGATGACTGGGCTGTAAGATTCACAGAGTGTATATACCTAACGATATATCAGCCAGCAACAACGGACAAAGCGGTCCAGTTGACAGCATGTGCAACAGCGATGTTGGATTTGGTGTTCTTTCAGCTGAGATCCCATGAGAGGTTCAAGCTGTGTCGATTAAGGGATGATCCGGTGGAGTTCAGGTACAGTTGAACCGAAAGAAACAAAAAACTATTTTTAATCGACTTCAAAAAAGGAATACTAATGACGCACTAGGGAAACCCTGTATCGCGGGTGCCATGGGCACACACACATAGACAACTACAAATTACACCCAAACTCACAAGAGAGAATCGAACCCGGGAGATCTGCGTGGCTATCCAGTAGATTACCGTTAGGCCGGCTGAGGTATTTGAAAATAGGTTTTTAATTCGACTGTATTTTTTTCTATTTTTGTTTTATCAAAAGCAAGTGACGAGACGAATATGTCTAGCGCCTGGTAGTAAGCGACACGCCTATCCATAATAGTTGCAGTGTCACTCAAGTGCTTTAAATCGCGAAGATTTTGCCTGTAATTTCACCAGTACCCTTCAAAACCGGAACACAGTATTGATCACATTACCCCTTTGCGACAGAAATAAGTAAGTACTTCCCTGAACGAGCTCTTCCACAAGGAGCTCTATTTCTTTAATTTCGTCGCAAAAAGATTATTTTAACGTGTACGTTACACGATTACTCTCAATTCGAGAATCGATTTCGGTGTTTATTTTTCAGACGTTCGTCATCTTTTATTATGCGCACAGACAAGCAGCTTGATTTTGATTGTCTCTCCCGATCGGAAACTGCATCTTTTCCGAGTCGAGGCGTATAATTTTGCGGTTGGCTACGACTATCGATTCCTATTTGAATTAAAATCAGGGCCCGGGAACATTGACTTACAATTATATGGACGTCGCTAAAAAGTGTCCGAACTTACAGGGCGTAAAAATTGTATTTAGAGCGTCATTCACGCTTTAGTCTTCGTTTGTTCGACTGACAGCGAAGCAAGCAAAATTAGACAGTACTGCGATGACATTACAATTGAAATTCAACGTTTTAGCTTTTTCATATTCCTTTACATGTCACTACGTTTAAATAGGTTGCCTTGGGACAATTTTTTTCGTGGTTTTTGTATTAGACCCGTCGTCCATTTATTTGTAAGTCAATGCCCGGGAATGTAATTCCCAGTCTGCGATTATGTTTCCGAGCATATACAACCCGAGAATCTTTAAGGTGAGATTGAATAGACATCGTCTGGGCGGGCTCGTTCCATCGTAGACACTGTCTTTGCTTCAGGGATAGACAGTGGTCAAGAGCAACTCCATTTACCTAAAAAAAATTATAACTGTCTTATAAAAATAAAACCGACATCAACTGTTTGTGGAATTACATATATTCGCCAATTTTTGTTGAAATCGGTTGACGGAAAATGGGTTCCATATCCAATCCAATAAACTGGATTCATCCCATGATTTACAACCCTTATAGAGGTGATATGATTTTCTTCAAATTCGAACTTTAAGTGTAATGTAAGTCGCCAGGACTGGTAGCTGTAAAAGTACTAACTGGGTGATAAATCTGTAATAGATTTCTCATAGATGGCGCTACGACTAAAAAGTCGTTGAAAGACCAAGTACAAAGACACTACGCAAGCACATTTAAGTGTAATGTTTAAGAACTTTTCCAACAAAACAGACTCATCGAAATTGGTTCACAAATGTCGGAATAGTTGCGTAACTTACACACGAAAAGAAAATACAGTCGAAGAGAAAGTCCTCCTTTTTGAAATCGGGTAAAAACAAAAAAGTATTTCTTTCACACTTTTAAACCTAGTAAATGGCAAATTTTGTCATATCTAGTTTGTTAAATTTTTTTAAAGCCGTTCTTTTGTTCCCTTAACAGGAACACGATAAGTGGTCCATCGAAGCTTCTAACGATGAGTAGAACCTATCAAGGTACCTTCAGAACACAAGCATTGACGAGTAGAAGAAGGAACGCTGCATACAGACAAGTACAAAACACACCGGATATAGACGTGCAAATAACAATCGATAGCATTCTGGAATCAATTCTACAATTTGCCAAGGTAAAAATAATCTTTTTTCAGCTCCCTAGCCCGGAAAGACATTTTTTCTCAATAGATATCTGCGCGCAAAAGCGTTTTTTCCACGCTAGCGTGGGAAAGGTTTCTGGAATTCGAATTTAACGATGGACAGTGGTGCACCACCTGACTTTTACTTTCGATGAGAAAACACACGTTCAAATAAGCGACTTGTCGTACATTACTTTTATAAGTAATATAAATCCGTTAGTTTATTTCATTCTTGTAACTGTTGACATTAAATTGACAAATATAACTAATTTCGTTTGTTAAAAATGATTTGTTGTAGTTCAATTGTTTTTCTTTCATCTGCCATTTTCCTCGCTATAGTGACGTGAAAAGTTGAAAGAGTCCATTACCTATTTCTGCCGCCAAGCAGTAATATGAACATTACTGCGTTCCGGTTTGGAAGGATAAGGGTGCTGGTGAAGTTATAGGCACATGTGACTTTTCAACTTGTGTCTCAGGGTGCAGAGACGGTGCCTCTCAGATCTTTGAGATTTAAAGCTCTAAGTGGCACTGCACCTGTTATGGACAGGCGTGTCGCATATCATCTCGTCTTGTCTTTTGGCATCGTGTGAAAAAAGCTGTCTAGTCGGATATAAAAGCCTTATAACTCCAAATTCCTCATTCCAGAACACCCCAGAAGCTTCTCAGGCACTCTGCGTTCAGTTATCGAAATGCATACAACGTCCGGGATTCGATTTCGGTCCAAACATGTCTATATTGCTCTATGGTGTACTCAAAAACGGCACAAGTGATCTGACGCCTTTGGTTTTGGAGTTGTGTAGGGTGTTTGTTGGAGACGTGTGGAAGGTTAATGGGTAAGTTTAGTCCAAGAACTGTTTTCTAGTTGTCTTTTATACTATTTAGTACGCGTGTCTGTGAGTTTGCGTGTTTTTTAAGTATTCGTGTGTGCGTGCGTGCGTGCGTGCGTGCGTGCGTGCGTATTTGTGTTACGACAGTCTAATAACGCAACACTCCTATTGGTCATATAGCTGGAGACACTAGAAAGTCCTCAGTCTCCTTGTGAACCTTCACAAGGTTGCTGCCGAGCCTGAAGCCAAAAATCCAGTCTTATCGAGTGTTCGTGGTTAGACGTTTGAATTTGACACTTAAGGCAGTCTCCGATTGGGGCGATGCCAATCTTGTCAAATTTAATGCTACCAAAACGCAGGCGTGTCTATTCTCTACAAAACGTAGTCCCTTTCACATGACTCCGACTTTTCGTGACATATCCATACCGACAGCCGACCGTCTCCAGCTACTTGGAATGGACCTGTCGGCTAATCAGAACTTCGGCAGATACATTGAATCCAGGGCCAAAAATGCAGCCTAGAAGCTTGGTATCCTTTCCAAGGTGAGGCGTTACTTCACACGACGACAGTTGCTTCAGCTGTACCAAGCACAAGTCCAGTCGTGTATGTAGTACTGCTGTCAATTATGGGTTTGCTCTGCTAAATACCAACTGGCCATCTTGGATTCAATCGACAAGCTTACCTTAAGGCTTATAGGTGACTCGGAATTAGTTGAGGCGCAGCTGCAGAGCCTTGAACACCGTCGAAAAGTTGCCTACATTTCGGTATTGAGGATATATCACGGAGAGTGTGCGACTAAAAAACTCGTTGAAAAACCAAATACAAAGACACCACAACAAGCACATAGAAAAATTTGTAAGGTCCGCTGGTTCGTTCCGTGGCTTAGTTGGTATAGCGTCTGACACGGTTTGCTAAATTCTGAATGTTCGATCTTTGTATTAATAATTATAACATTAAATTAAATCCGGAAAAATAGTTTTATTTCCTATGTTTTTTTTTATTTTCAGTTTCTCAACCGCACTCTCAAACCTGCTACTAACTACAAAATCAACAGAAGCCGAACATATTGTTAAAGTTATATACGAAGATGCATTATTGAGATCGAACGACGACTCAGTTGTGTTGGGCAATAACGAATACGTGAATGACGTTTATATGGACGAGAACAAGCCTTTTAGTTTGGATGGTGAGTAGAGCTTTCATTTGGCCGTTTGCACTGAAATATAAACAGGCCAACTACTGACCCGTGTGTAAAAAATATTCTGTATTTATTTGTAATAAAGATTATAATCTCTAACAAAGCCGTGCTGTTCTATTCGGTGGTGTGGGAAAAACAGCAAAACATCTAATTACAAAACAAACGGAATCACATTACACCGGTAATTAAATATTAAATATGTAATTTTCGTCTATTATAGCAAAGCTCAAGTTAACTGGTCGATGTGTAGTGAAACAGTTGACGACATCCGTCAATTGTTTCGAACTCGGGCTGACCAATCGGAGCGCAGTTGTCACAGTAATGATATGGCAGAATGGTTTTCAAACAAATTAAATGACATTTCGTCTCTATTTCTGGTTATATACTCGGTGTTCCGGGAATATCCGTCTCAAAAATATTGACTCGACAATTTTCTGATATATTCGAGACTCGAGACTGAGGTTTCAGTCTCGGGAATACCGAGACTTTTGAGATTAGTCACTGAATTAAAAAATATTAAGTCTATACTAGTTCAGCTCGAATTAAAGTTTTTCCTGTACTGAATCGGTTCTGTTTTGTCTCTATCGGCTTTATTCAACTGCCTCCGTGGCCGATCGGTTACCACGCTGGACTGCCACGCAGAGCTCCCGGGTGCGATTCCCGGGCCGGGAGAAATATTTGTATGGCTTACATTTGGGTGTAATTTGTGCCTGTCTACCTATGTGTGTGTCAATGGCACCCGCTATACAAGGGTTTCCCTAGTGCGGGACTTAATAAAAATTGAAATAATAAATAATAATAAAAAATCAGAATTTATTTTTTACAAACGAAATTAAAACCATGTCATAATTTTTTTTTATTATGAAAAGTAACACGGTTATCACACATTATAATATAAAAGTAACGGGACTTACTCGCGTAGTATTTTAGTCGGAAGCGGTCCGACCAGTTTCGACCATAATCGAAGGTCTTCTTCAGGGGTTGAGTGCAACGTTATACGAGATAATAAAAATCGGTTCTCACTACGCAAAGTATATTAAGAGAGAAAAACGCGTTGAATTGGAGAGTAGCAAAACCAACCATTAAAATAATTGCTCCTTATGTAAAATTTAGGCGCTATTTATAAAAATGAATCTTCATGCGTGAACCCTTAGAGGTTGATGATTTTCTTCAAAATAAAATGGGACCACTATGGAGGTACCCTCTTTCTAACAAAAAAGAATCATGAAAATCGGTTCACAAATACCGGAGTTATCGTGTAACATACATACAAAATAAAACATACTGTCGAATTGAGAATGAAAAAAAATTCCTTTTTTTGAAGTCGGTTAAAAAATAAACATGAGGCAACCTATATTTTGGAATGTTTAGAAAATTAACAACAAAAACATTAATTTTATACGTATTGATGACGAAATGAGTATGTCCATATAAAGGTAAACTATTTTTTTATGGGGAACTCTATACGTTTTTATAATAAGAAGCCGGAGCATACATCAAGATTACCATATTCTATGTTTAAAACTTACATCAAAAGTATTTTAATTGAAAAGTCACATTACAAAATTGCTGACTACGTGTTAGATGAAGATGTATGGAAAGACAACAAGTGTCTAGATTCCTCACAAATATGATTCAAAATGTATTCTATAGCATTTAAGGTTCTTCTCAGGGCGGTCAGCGTAGTGAACGGGCCGTAGCTTAAAAAATAACGTTTTCAAGTGTAAAAATTTTACCTATGGAATAAATTATTATTTGACCTAGACAACGTTCGTACGTTACGGTAAATTAGCTCCCTCAATTGAATGGAATGTCCATATTATTCTTTAGTTTCGCTAAATGAACTCCCCCAAAATCAAAATTAATTTCTGTTATTTCAGATCTAACGTCAATGTTCAACAAACTGTCTAACTGGGACAATCTGACCATACAACAGAAAAGAAATATTGAGCAATCTGGAATACCTACTTTGTGGGCAGATGATGATGTTTTCAAAACTGCATTGGAGAGTTATACAGGTATCACATCTTGTTTTTGCTTCTAGGTAATCCGGGATCGATTACCAGTTAAATCAATTTAGGAATCAAACTTTTCTATATCTGAAACATAATAATTTGGAGACTTTGGAGGGTTGTTGGGTGGTATTTGTGAAACTATGCCGACTATGGGCCGAAACACAAAACTGCAATCTCGCATCGCAGAAATCTACGAGCTCGCAGGACGCATCGCAAGAATTTGCGAATTGCTCCGCATCGCGCATTCCTGCGATATTTGGTACTTGGTACTTGGTGTAACGGGCTGGTGTCCGCAACTCGACGTCAAGGCGCCTATTTTGCGTGTGGTGGGGGACCTTGGCACTCCAAGGTACTTTGCCCTGTAGTTGGCCACGCCGGAGCACTGTAGTAGAATGTACGCAACCGTTTCCTCCTCCTCCATACACGCTCTGCATAGAGGGCTATCTGTGATACCTAAATTGAAAAGGTGTTTATTGTATGGACCATGACCTGTTAAGGCAGCAGTTAGAGTGCGAAGCTCTTGCCTTTTGAGTTTAATTAATATACGTGATAGACTGGCATTGAGCGTTGGGAGTGCTTCCCTCGCCTATCTACAAACCGTAAGGGTGGTCCATGTATTATTATGTGAAGTTTTTGTACCTTTGTGTATAGTTGTTCTGGACCATTGGTAGGGGAGGGACACAATGGGTTCTGGTCGTACAGCGTCCGTCTCCGACCCTGCGATGTTATTCTTCTTTGTGTTTTTTTCCTATACTTTCTTATCAATATCAGCAGTGCAACACTTTTACGTTGGCGATGGTTGAAGCAATGGTTACGGGAACCATGGCAGTGAGTTGCCTTGCCGCACGAAATCGCTTCGCAGCAATTCGCGTCGCAGTTTACTGCGTTGTGAATTCGCATCAGCTTATTCGCACTTTTGTGTTTCGACCCAAAAGTAGAATAACGTCTGTGAACTGGCAATCGGTACTATCTCAATTTTGACAACTTTACAGAATGAAGAAAAAAATTGTTTGCGTCATTTATATAGCATCTGATTTGTTAAATATGTAGTTTTGAAATACTTTTATTACACATACACTACGTACTTTTATTTTTGGCAGTTCACAGTCGATGAGTTGGATTTATTTAAAATAAGATCTTATTAGAAAATGATTGATTGATTATTGCTGAAAATAAACTCGCAATAGAAATTTTGGAATATGTTTTAATAGGAGTTGATCTCCTTGTGAAAGCGTTCGTTCAGGGAAGTATGGCAGTACTTACATTTACCTATTTCTGTCTCCAAGCAGTAATGTCAGCATTTCTGTGCTTCCGGTTTTGAAGGGTAAGGGTGCTGGTGAAATTACAGGCACATGGGACTTGTCAACTTATGCTTCAGATCTTTTTTAAAGCTCTGAGCGACACTGCAACTGTTATGGACAGGCTTACCATCAGGCGCACGACTTGTTCGTTCCGGTCACTTGATATTGTAAAAAGAAAAGAAAGTTGCCCGAGTTCGTTCATAAAAGAAAAAAATATTATTTATTTATTATATTATTCGATCTCATATGAATGAGTAACTTTAGTATTTGAGAAAAGCACTATAATGTACTCGGCGGGATTGCCTGATTGAGACCGCGAATATACCAGTCCTATTGTTAATACAGTCCACTTTTATTTTGCGTCTCTTAGGACCCTAACAGTGTTTTAAACGAAAGTGCAGCACGTGGTGAAAGTAGATCGCCGCGTACGCAGAGTTATACCCAAGAATATATGAGACCAACTCCTCAGTAACACTATCGTGTGTGAGCTCACTAAATAGGTCTCTACTAGGGTAACCTACACAAACTCGAATTTTTTTCCGAAATAACGTTTGTTCGAATTTTCATTACACCGAAAACCGTATTATGACGAAACCGTTGTTCTTTCAGGATATGTTGGATGTTTATCGCAAAGAGACGATTAGGTTTGGTTAGGTTAAGTTAGGTTTAAAAGAAAAAACATTTTCCTCTCAAAATTACTTTCGAGCTTATAAAAATTCGAGCTAACGTTATTTCTGGAAAATGTCGTTTCGTACTACTGATAGGTAACACTCAACTAGTTGTTAGCTCACGTGATTAGTGATTTTATTGACTTTTTCGACTCTATTGTTTTGTCATCATCATCATCAACCCTTTTATACGTCCCACTGCTGGGCACGGGTCTTCTTTCAGACGAGGTTTTAGGCCATAGTCCGCCACGCTGGCCCAATGCGGGTTGGGGTCTCTTCACAAGTTTTCCGAAGGTTGTACACCTTCTTCAACGTGCAGATTTCATCACGATATTTTCCTTCACCGAAAAGCTCATGATACATTTCAAATTCAATTTCGCACTTAAATTCCGAGAAATTCAGTGGCCCAGATTCGAACCCACGACTCTCAGCTACTGTTTTGTGTCGGGGTCTATTTAAATTTTAATCCAAGTGTTTGGTCCTTCAAGGTACAGAAGGATGGTTCTCCAAAATGGTGTCCGCCTATAAACACGAAGACCAGCAAAACGCGATGAAGTGGCTCAAAGAAATGGACAGGTGGCCAAGGCGACACTTCGCCATATCTGCTGTTATTGAAGCTATACAATGGCAAACAGAAGAAAAAACCTTCACGTGCAACATTCTACCTTCAGATTGTTTAGCCGAATGGGCGGCAAGGTTTATGATCAGGTGATACCCAAATACCAAAAAACGGTAGCAAGCACAATTTTAGTTTTTTTTTTTTATTTATTTATTTTTTTTTTATTGTGACTCGGCAAAATGACTGCACCGCGCCTGATGGAAAGTGCGAATACAGTCCAGAGATGAGAGTAACGGATGGAAAACACAAATATCTTCACTCCGTCACTATCATTTT